AAGAGGTATGAGTGGAGGAAAGAGTCTGTGGACCCAGAAGAGCCACACAATCGACCTAAGAACTCAGACTCCTCTTAGGCGTGTATATTCACTCATTTAACCACTCATTCATTCATTTATTCCTCTCTCTCTCTTTATCCCACCCTCTTCTGCTGTCCCACCCAACAGCTGCCACACATCCAACAGCAAATACTGCTGGGAGCCAGCACACAAGATCCCACCCATGACAAGGTCATGAGGAGGAGACCTGACAAGCAAGGCATATCAGGATTCCAGGGATTTTGAAAAGCTGCCCCCGGCGCTCACCTTAAAGATGATCTCTGTCTTTCTGATGCTTGCTTTAATAGGCTACTCCCTAATTTCTGTGACACAGGAAGAAGGCCTTCCCCGATTTCTTTTTAAATAAGAATCAACTTAGAACTTTAATCAATATGTCTCTCGGGTGGTAGGGAGGCTGTAAGAGGTATGAGCGAAGGAAAGAGTCTGTGGACCCAGAAGAGCCACACGAACGACCTAAGAACGCAGGCTCCTCTTAGCTGTGTTTATTCACTCATTTTTTTTTTTTAGTTCTACCATTTTATTGCTACCAACCCATCTCCCTCCACCCTCGTGCACACATGCTCAGTCATGTAATCCCATGGACTTCAGCCTGCCAGACTCCTCTGTCCATGGACTTTTCCAGGAAAGAATACTGGAGTGGATTGCCATTTCCTTCTCCATTATTCACTCATTTAACCACTCATTCATTCATTTATTCCTCTCTCTCTCTCTCTTTATCCCACCCTCTTCTGCTGTCTCACCCAACAACTGCCACACATCCAACAGCAAATACAAAGCACTTTCCACAGCGGCCTCAGTTTATACCTCACTTCATTAGTCCCTCATGATTAACACAGGCCCCTAAAGAGTGCCCCAGATTTTCCATTTCAGAAATACAGTATGGTACGATTTTTCACTTGTTGCCTTCTCTGCCACATTAGCTCACAAGGGAAAGAAATATCTTTTTCAACTGCTGTATCTCCAGCACCTTACACAGGGTCCAAACTCAGTAATTAACTGTCAAATTAACGAGACACTACACAGACAACTACGGGGTACCACTTGAATTACCTAAAATTCTCTAAAACCAGAAATTGGTGTAGCCAAGACGGCAACTTGTTCCCCAAAGTCACTGTTCTCTGACACTTTGGGGACACAGTTACACTAACTTCCCAACCTCTTCTGTAGTTAGCTGTGGCGTGGGATGAGTTTTGGGCCGTGGGATGTGAGTAGAAGTGATTATGCCACTGTTGAGCTGTCCCATAAAACCCTCCCACGCATTGCCTCCACATTCTTCTTTTCTCTTCCTGTTGGACTGTTGACACAGCCCTTGAATGACCTTAGAAGCTACATGCTGATACCTGGGACTCTATGTAGAAAAGACCCACCCCTCTACCCTGCTCATAAGAGAACTAAACATCTCTATGTTTGAGTCTACCTGTGACAGCAGTTAACCTCCCCTAATCTTTACCTAGAGCCAGACATCCTGGAACGTGAAGTCAAGTGGGCCTTAGAAAGCATCACTATGAACAAAGCTAGTGGAGGTGATGGAATTCCAGTTGAGCTATTTCAAATCCTGAGAGACGATGCTGTGAAAGTGCTGCACTCAATATGCCAGCAAATTTGGAAAACTCAGCAGTGGCCAAAGGACTGCAAAAGGTCAGTTTTCATTCCAATCCCTAAGAAAGGCAATCCCAAAGAATGCTCAAACTACTGCACAATTGCACTCACCTCACATGCTAGTAAACTAATGCTCAAAATTCTCCAAGCCAGGCTTCAGCAATACGTGAACCAAGAACTTCCAGATGTTCAAGCTGGTTTTAGAAAAGGCCAAGGAACCAGAGATCAAATTGCCAATTGCTGGATCATCGAAAAAGCAAGAGAGTTCCAGAAAAACATCTATTTCTGCTTTATTGTCTACGCCAAAGTCTTCGACTGTGTGGATCACAGTAAACTGTGGACAATTCTGAAAGAGATGGGAATACCAGACCACCTGACCTGCCTCTTGAGAAACCTGTATGCAGGTCAGGAAGCAACAGTTAGAACTGGACATGGAACAACAGACTGGTTCCAAATAGGAAAAGGAGTACATCAAGGCTGTATATTGTCACCCTGCTTATTTAACTTCTATGCAGAGTACATCATGAGAAACGCTGGGCTGGAAGAAGCACAAGCTGGAATCAAGATTGTCAGGAGAAATATCAACAACCTCAGATATGCAGATGACACCACCCTTAAGGCAGAGAGTGAAGAGGAACTGAAAAGCCTCTTGATGAAAGTGAAAGAGGAGAGTGAAAAAGTTGGCTTAAAGCTCAACATTCAGAAAACTAAGATCATGGCATCTGGTCCCATCACCTCACTGGAAGTAGATGGGAAGACAGTGGAAACAGTGTCAGACTTCATTTTTTGGGGCTCCAAAATCACTGCAGATGGTGACTGCAGCCATGAAATTAAAATACGCTTACTCCTTGGAAGGAAAGTTAAGACCAACCTAGAGAGCATATTAAAAAGCAGAGACATTACTTTGCCAACAAAGGTTTGTCTGGTCAAGGCTATGGTTTTTTCCAGTGGTCATGTAAGGATATGAGAGTTGGACTGTGAAGAAAGCTGAGTGCCGAAGAATTGATGCTTTTGAACTGTGGTATTGGAGAAGACTCTTGAGAGTCCCTTGGACTGCAAGGAGATCCAACAAGGAGATCAGTCCTGGGTGTTCAATGGAAGGACTGATGCTGAAGCTGAAACTCCAGTACTTTGGCCACCTCATGTGAAGAGCTGACTCATTGGAAAAGACCCTGATGCTGGGAGGGATTGGGGGCAGGAGGAGAACGGGACGACAGAGGATGAGATGGCTGGATGGCATCACCGACTGGATGGGCATGAGTTTGAGTAAACTCCGGGAGTTGGTGATGGACAGGGAGGCCTGGCGTGCTGCGATTTATGGGATCGCAAAGAGTCAGACACGACTGAGCGACTGAACTGAACTGAACTGAATTTTTACCAGCCAGCAGCTGTGTGTCACTTTCCTAGGGAGAAATAAAAGGCTTTCAGAGGACAGTAAGCTCTTTCTTGGTATACAGGACTGACAAAAGTCCTGCTTGTTCATGATTATCAGGGAAGATAGTAACCTTGCCTTGGGCTGGCCTGGGTGTGGCCCACAACACAGAATAGGCTGGATGAATTCTGGTGATGTCAGAACATAGATTATCAGCTTGCTTGCCTCGCCTCCTCTCAGAAGTACAGGGCCCCATGGGCCCTAGACAAATGCCCAGTTGCCTTCTCAAGTAGTCTGGCCCTGACCTCATCTGTGCTTACCTGGCAAAAATGTCACAGCACATTGCTCTGCTGTTGTCAGGGCCAGCTGGGGAGAAACTGCCAAGAGCTTTTTCAAAAAGCCACAGCAACCTACACTGCCACAGAACAATGGGTGGCAGCGATGACTCGCCTTCTGAATAAAACCTGTGGCTGAGCGGACAGAGATGCAACCTCAGACAGAATGCATTTCCCGGTGGCAAACCTCTTCTTGCACCACAGATGCGTCTGAGTCTGTTGTTTCTCCTGAACACTTGGGACTTCAAAGAGAACTCCTCTCCCTGACAGACTGGAACATGTAGGTAACTGCATTACATTAAGAGAATTAGTAGCACGTACTATTCATAACTGCTTGTTCCATCTAGGTCTAGGAAACTATTAAAAGGATAAATTATTGACTAACTCTTTTCACTTTTCCTCATTGCAGTTTTATTTCAAGAACTTCCAGATTCAGTGGTTCTTAACCTTTAGGGGATCATGAACCCTTTTAACAGTTTGATGAAATGCCTTGACCCTTTCATTAAACAAAATGTCCACAAGTGCCCGCACATATTACGTATGATTTCAGGGTACACACAGGATGCCAAGTTCATCCACTCATTCCAGGTTCATGGACCCTCCAGTGCTGCTGCTGCTGCTGCTGCTGCTAAGTCACTTCAGTCGTGTCCGTCTCTGTGCGACCCCATAGACGGCAGCCCACCAGGCTCCGCCATCCCTGGGATTCTCCAGACAAGAACACTGGAGTGGGTTGCCACTTCCTTCTCCAATGCAGGAAGGTGAAAAGTGAAAGTGAAGTCGCTCAGTCGTGTTGACTCTTCGCGACCCCATGGACTGCAGCCCACCAGGCTCCGTCGTCCCTGGGATTCTCCAGGCAAGAGTACTGGAGTGGGTGCCACTGCCTTCTGCGACCCTCTAGTGCAGAGGGCAGCAACTTCTCCCTTGAAAGGGCAAGAGAGTAAATATCCTGGGCAGACCACATACTGTCTCTGTCACAGCTACTCAACTCTGCTGCTACAGGAGGAAAGCTGTCCTTCCCGTGTTCCAGACAAACTTAATTCGTAGATATCAAAATCTGAATTTCATACAATTTTCCTAAGTCACAAAATATTTTTTTTTTCATTCTTTTTCAGCCATTTAAAAAATAAAAACCATTCTTAGCCAGTAGCTTATACAAAAACAGGTGACAAACCATAGTTTGTCAACTCCTGCTGGTAAGGCATGGGTTCTCTAGAACAAAGTTTCTATCTCTATTTTCACTAACTTCTAACTGAAACTTCACATTACGAATGCAGGCAGCAAACCTTAGTGTCGGCAGAAATCATAGGTCCATTCATGCCACGTTAGAATGGTGGCAGGTAACACAAAATATTGATCAGGCTCATCATTATTTTTAAATTATGGCCATTATTAGATCTCCTACTGATTCTTGCCATTTAAATGTGCTGATAAACACATATCATTATATGAAAATTTTGATTCAATAACTATATTTCAAAATAATTGATTTCCATTTGAATACTATATATTTGATTTAGAGCATCTCAAAACAGAATTCTGAGAAGTATGCCAGGGCTTTCACCAGACACCAAAAAGGTCCACAGCACAGAAAAGGTGAAGAGGGTCTAGGCAGGCAAAGCCAGAGCATCTCCTACCAGAGCATTCACATCTTCTGTTTTGTGGATGAGCATCCGTATCTCCTCTGGATCACCGCTGAAGATTGCTTGGACCAGTGGTGGCTGTAAACACAGGAGAACTGGAATTAGAACTATAATTAAATAATTGGATTGTACTCAGATGCAAATGGCTAGGAGATCTATTCCCCAAAAGTTTATTCAACAATTATCAATTGGCAGATATAGATGAATATGTCTCGGGTCCACCCTTGCTCAAAGTCCAGTAGGGGAGTTATTTGCATCAAGAAATAACTATAATATGATTTGAAAGCCATGACAGGACAGTCACATCTAATCTGGGGCTATGAGTGTAACATGAAAATCACCACTAGTTGAAAATGTCCTTGGATGGTCCTTAAATTACCTATCAAGAAAACTACCAAATCTGTGTTTTTGTGCATAGGACCCCCTGCCATTCCCCAGTTTCTCATTAGACAATGCTCCCTGGACCTTTTAAACAAGTCTGTTCCTAGATGATGTTAGTGGCCATGTTTCTGGCCTCCTGAACACTTGCTTTTTTCTGTCAAAGTTTGGAAAAGCCTTTAAATCATCCCCCCAACACTTCCCATAGCTTAGCCAACAAGCACTGAGTGCTTTAGAGGTGATTACTTTCCCATCTATTCAAAATAAGTGGTATAACGGTGGGGTGGGGAGGAAGAAGGGAGGCATTACTAAACATGTATCATTGAACTCACCTAGATTAAGCAAGCCCAACAGAAGGGAGAAGGATTTATAAACTTGATGGAAAGCCAGCTGAAAGAAAAACTGGCTCCGCTTGGGTGGTAGGGTGAGAAGAGTGTCCAGAAAAGCTTCATGGAAGGCACCTTCATGAATGCCTGTGTGAGTTTGCAAAGACAAAGAAGGATATAGTGGCCAGGGAACTGGAGTGTGGAAAGGTGTGGATACGCAAAGAGCCTGGTGTGTTAGAAATGCAGCCATCAGCCTGGTGACCAGGGTGTGGGAGAAAAGAGCAAAAGCGGTGGGCTCTGGGGTTGGTGCTGGGCTCCCCCACATGGTGAAGGATCCGGTTCAAAGCCAGTTCTGCCGCTTGCCAGTTACATGTTGAGCCCATTTCCCATGTGTAATCTGGGGCCAAACATGATCTTTGCTGTCCAACCCATCAAAGGGTTGGTTTTAGGAACAACTGAGATAATAAATGGGAAAACCTTCTATAAGCCTACACGCTCCATGCTAATTCGCTTCAGTCATCTCCGACTCTTTGCAACCCCATGGACTGTAGCCCACCAGGCTCCTCTGTCCATGGGATTCTCCAGGGAAGAATACTGGGGTGGGCTGCCACGTCCTCCTCCAGGGGATCTGCCTGATACAGGGATGGAATCCAGGTCTCTTATGTCTCATGCATTGGCAGGTGGTCTCTTTACCACTAGCGCCACATGGGAAGCCATACAACCCTATCCAAATAACAGATGTTTTCACTAAGAAATGTTTATGATGTCAATATGGAGCATTTGACAATTTTTTTTTCAAAGTTTAAAACCTTGGTAATAACTCACATGCACACGCAACACACATATATTTACTTATAAGTTTTGGAAATACTTTAGCCCTTGCAGGCAATTGGATGGTGGCAGTTTCCCAAACTTGTCTGATCATAAGTATCACCTAAGATGCTTACTAAAACAATATTCCCAGATCTCTCCCCTGGAGATTCTGGGGTGGGGTCAGAGAACCCAGACTTCTAATAATCACCCACTTAGTTATCAGGAACCGTGCGCACTGACCTAAAGTGACATGGTTAGAATTATCTGCCTCAATCTCTATGTAATCTATATGAAATTCCAAGTCCTGACTTTCCCTACAAACTTTCTTTTCTCTTTTTTACCTTCCTGTTGCCTTTCTTACATGTTTTGATGATATTCCTCGTTATTTGAGGGGACCAAGTTAAGTATTGTCAGTAGAACATGGTAAGATTCCTTAAGGAAACATTATATTTAAAAAAATGTTAGGGACTTCCCTGGTGGCCCAGTGGTTAAGAGTCTGTGCTCCCAATACAGGGGACACAGGTTTGATCCCTGGTCAGGGAACTAAGATATCTCATGATGCAGGGCGTGGCCAAAAAAAAATATTAAACTGTAGATAAGTATTACCACCTGTCAGGAATCACAGTTTTCCCTCTGCCATCAAAGTTTCCAGCAAGTAGACAGATGTATATCTCTTTTTGGTCCCAAACACTCTCTTAATCCTACCTTCTTGCCAAGGTGTCTGATTCAAAGATAGTTTCTCAAATTACCAACAATTAAGTAGCAGGAAAGAAGTCTTGAAAAGAATGCAAGTTTGACCAGTTGGTGTGAGCTGGCACTCTGCCCAAGAAAATAAGTTCCTTCCCTACACTTGCTGACTACTTGCCACGTCTCCAGACACCCTGCCTCAAGGCAAGGACCATATTTCAAGTAAAATAGACAGTCATGTAAAGTCAGGATTTCAACAAAAATATCTGACTCTGGCATATCGACTTCATAATTCTCTATCTGCTGTGCCTGTTGCCAAATGCTTGTGCATATTTCTCTGCCTTTTTGAACCTTAAGAGAAAGCAAATACCAAACCCCAATAACTGAGGGATGACAAGCAGAGGCAGATGAGATTTTAGTGTTGAGTCAACAGTGATCAATCAACAGTTGAGAAGTTAAGATTCTGAGAAACAAACCCACCCCAGTTTAATGCACCACTGGTTAGTCACTTTAAGGAAACACAGCTAGATAAGCAAAGCTCCTCTTCACTCTTGAGTGAAAGAATGCACGCAGATATTCAGTCCTCACACCACTCAAGAAACGCAAGGGTTCCAAGCTATGGCTGGAATGTACCCAAGGAGAGCCACCCTGCAAAGCTGCCAGACAAGGATGCCAGCACAGCCCTCCAGGGAGTGTGGAGCTTTCCAAACACCTCCAGGCCCAGTCCCTGAGACCCACCCGAAGGTTATCATCAATGCAGAGAATTCCCAGCAGAGAATGGCATGCATACTTCCTCAGTGTCTCCCTCTGCGAAAAGCTGCTTTGGGGAGTATCATCAATGCTCAGAACTCCTAGCATCCATTGGAAAGAAGCTGACAATTGTAATTCTTTCAGTCACGTGTATACACCAATAAACCCACGTATACATGGCTACATTTTGCCCATGTCTGTACTCATCTGCATCTACATTCATGTCTGTATGCACAGAGATACATGCTGATTCACACACAAATCCCTCCCATTCCCTGTGGAACAGAAAAGTGCCGGTTCTCTGAAGTCTTGCTAACTGGACATTTCTGCCCCAGCTGGGCTGTTTGGTCACTGTGACATCACTGTTTTCACAACTGTGAATCCAGGCACTATGAGATTCCAAATCAGAACTTCAGACACATGCTTTGCCATGTGTTTGCATGCACGAAGTTCTTGAACTAAATTCCTATAACTCTTGAGCTAGTGGTACTTCTCTAAAAAAAAAAAAAAAAAAAAACCCACAGTACAGGCATTTCTTTTTTTCTCTACACTTCTGTCAGGCGAGTGTACGCTCCTCGGTTCTTTGTCTGAGAGAGAGAGAGAGAGAGAGAGAGAGAGAGAAAGCGCCCTTTGCTCCTCTTTTTGTGTGTTTTTTTCTTCCCCCTGGGCCTGCCCTATGCAAACTGGGCTTAGGCAGGAGCACCGGTCTACGTGAAGTCCTCACTCTGGCCCTCCGACCTTCCTTTGACCTTCCTCTGTTCTATTTTCGCGGGCTTTTCCCTTCCTTGTCTTTTAGCCACTGCCATTTTGGACTCCTTTTCCCGATTCTAACTACCTAACACTTCCAAATAAAACACATCATATAACACTTTGACATTCCCTTTTGTTGGGATTTTAATTGGATCCTGCTGTTTTATTTTTCCCTAGGCAAACACTTGCCCTGAGAATAAATATTTGGGAAAAGATAATTCTAAATACTGTCTCTATTACATGATTTTAAGAAAGAAGGAATATTCTAATTACAGTACTCTTGTTCATAAGTACCAAGTACTTACACTCTGTTGACTATTTATTTGGAAATCACTGTATTTTTGCCTTGACCTTGATAGGGCCTTCCATGCCAAAGAACAGAGTCCCAAGCCTTGGCACGTACAAGAATTTTTTTTAGAAGTTTCACCCATTTCAATGCTAGCATATACAAAATACAAGTGCTTTGTGTGCAAATGTGAATAAACACATTTTTAACAAGAGTCAGAGTTGTGAAAAACAAACAGTGGCAGAGAAAAGAGAGAGATTCTGATGTCAATCCCTAAAGAAATTTAAATTCTTAAAAAGAGATATGCAGCTTCAGTTACCAGAACTGTTTCAGCATGTTTAGCAGCTGTAGGCTGGAAATGATTTCCTTGTGCTGTGGATACTGGCACAGTCCCTCATGTGGACTCAGAAGGATACTTCCCAGGTTGCTTAACCAGCGGCACCAGTAGGGGGTCAATACTCAGCCGGTACCTGTCATTGTCTTCAATACCACCAACCACCAGCACTCTGCTGGGAGAAGAGTGAACTGGTAGGGCCGTTCACACTCGCCAGAGTGTGAACAGCTGCCTTCTAGAGGTGACTGTCTGCCAGCCGGATGACATTTGACCCCTCTAAGACAGAAGAGCAGAGCAGAAGCCCCTTGAATTTGGCAACCATCATGAACAATGTGGCCATTGCTGACATCAGGAACTGAAAATCTATCTGCAAAAAGCCACTTTCACTACCCACATCCCCTATCAGCCCACCCACTACAGCATTTTTCTATTTTATTCTCAGTCTTTGAGAACAAATGAGGAAAACAGCCAATTCCCCAAGACGCTAAATCAAAGAATGTATTGACAAGTGTTCTCAGATTGTGAAGCAGAGTAACAATTCCACTAGGGGGAGCAAGAAGGTAATTTGTTACCTGGGAGGTAAAGAGTGAACATTCAAGTTGTGTAATTAAGGTAGCTAGAGGATCCACTTTATTCAAGACATGAAAGGATTCAAGCTTCTGGGAGAATTCTTAGTAATAAGTAAACACAACCTGAATTACACCCCAAAACAAACATTTTTTACACTTTCCTATTAATCCCTGAGGGTCCAGGT